CCGCTGATGGCAGAGCGCCGTCTGCGCGCGTGGCGTTCCAGCGGAGACCGCCTGGACGCGTGCGCCATGGACGGCAACGCGAAGCTCTGCAGGCGTACGTGCCGCACTCCTTGCGCAGAGGTTGTGTATTCCAAAATGTTGGACATGCATCTCGTCCGGGGTTGTTCCGAGACTCCTTTGCGCGGGGGTCTCGTGCTTTGCCGCCGCCACCAAGAGTTGATCGCGCGCGAGACCCTCCCCGAGGAGATCGAGGAGCATCGCGTCCGCGCCCCCCTTTCCATCAGCGCTTCCCTCGAGGTCGAGGTTCGCTTGGTAGGGAACGCAGGGTGGCAGCCTGCCTGCTCTGTGGCGGGCGAGGCGGTGCAGGCTTATTTCGCACGCATCGCCGAGCCCGTCGTGCAGGAGCGCAAGCGGGCGCGGATGGGGCGACGGGGCCAGGAGCGGCGAGCGCCCCGTTTCATATTGGGCGACTGGGCGTCTAGCGCGACCAGGGATAAACGCACGTGCAAAACCCACAAAGAATCCATATCTGCCGTGCGCACTGCTTCTCGCTCCGCTGGGTTTCTGACGGCCGCGAGCGAGAGCGGGATCGCGGGTGGATTTCAGGAAGTCATCACGGCGGAGACGCTCTCGCAGCGGTACTGCTTCCTCGCCGAGATGGCCCATGCGGCCCCCGAGCTGAGCATGCTGGTTCATGGCGACGCCTGCCACGTCCAGGTGTTTGCCCGGTGCCGGTCCGCGGAGGCGGCCCCAGTCACTTTGGCAGCTCGTCTCGACCAGTTCAGGTACATAGTCGATCGGCCCCCATATAGCAGGGGCCACGTTGACTCGACTTGCCGGGAGCTTTGCTTTCCAGACGCTCCCGCGAACAAGGCGGCGTTGGGCACTTTCCCCACGCCGATTTGTGCAACCGATTTGTCTCCGTTGTCCCATGCCATCCACCACATGGGCCGGTGGGCGTGCCTGTTCATGGTTTCTGAATGCGTCGACGTCCACAATGGGCTGAAGGCGCAGACTGCGGCGCGCGTTCAGGCTCGCGCCAAGCGGCGCGCCGCGCGCGCGGCGCCCGCAGCGCCGGGGCCCCCGCTGGACCCCCCCGTGGCCACGGTGCCAGGCGGCGGCGAACTTCTGGCGCCAACCGTGCCCGTAGTTCGCCGCAAGCTGAAGCAATTCTGGGCAGACGCCGCAGCGTCTGGCGAGAAGTTGTTTGAATGTCAGACGTATCGCGCGCATTCAACCAACCAGCTGGATCTCGCTTGCGTTGGTGCCCGCGTTGTGTTTGGCAGCGCGTTCGTGGCGGGCGTGGCTGTGTGCGCGGGCCCTGCGCAGCGCGACGTGAATTCCGACGACGCCAAGCGCTTGCTCGAGGAGTTGCCCGAGCATCTGCGCGGCCCACTCGCGGAGTTCCTGGGGCCCGCGCGTTCTTTTGACATCGTGCGCGCGGGCGCCATCTTTGACGTGAGACCGTTGTGTCTCACGTGGGAGGCGCTGGGCGAGGCCCTCTACGCGACCCCGCTGAGGCAGAATTGCGGGTGGCCGCGTCTGCGCGGCGAGGCTGTGCCGAGTCGGTTGGACGAGCTCTGCAAGCGACCTGGCGTCGTCGTTCGGCGGCCGCCACCGCGCGCGCCAGGGTGACATCGCCTTGCAGATCGGGCGTTTTTCTTCGCATGTCCGGCGCAGCCGCCCTCGTTTTCCGCGGGCCCGTCGTGTTGAGCGGATGTTAGACTCACTTTGTCAGCGGCCAGGCGTCGCTCGAAGAGTGCCCTGCCAGCTGACCGCCGCATAGCCGCATTGCCGCCGCGTGCGGAGGCCGTGTGCATCGCGGATGTTGGTTGCCTTGTTTGCTCCGCGTCGCCCTCAACTTTGGCGCGCGGGCCAGCGTCTGCGCGTTCCGATGCCGGTGTGAAAATCCCCTCCTCTTGTTTAGGCCCCCCCTCTCTCTCGGCGCTCCTGCTCGCCGCGGCCTCCAGCCTCGATCTGGAGGTCGTGGCGTTTCCAAGACCTCCTGGAGCGCCTGAGGCTTTTTGTTGAGCCTTCTTCTGGAACTCCTGGGCAATCCAGCTCGCCGCGACCTCCAGCCTCGATCTGGAGGTCCAGGTCCTCCTGGAGCGCCTGAGGCAGCCTTCTTGAGCCTTCTGATGGGAGTCCTGGTTTCCTGCTCGCCACGACCTCCAGCCTCGACCTGGAAGTCGCGGCGTCTCCAGGTCCTCCTGGAGCGCCTGAGGCGTTTTTTTTCAGCCTTCTTGTGGGGTTCCTGGGCGCTCCTGCTCGCCGCGACCTCCAGCCTCGATTTGGAGGTCGTGGCGAGCAGCTAAATCTCCGAAAGGGGCCACGCAGAGATGCCGGCTCCAGGGTGTTTCGAGGAGGCCCGAGGTGGCTCCAGGGGGACCCTAACGAATCTTCGAGCTCCCACGAGCGCCCCTGGAAGCCCCCTGGGGTCCGCATTTCTGCGTGGCCCCTTTCGGGCATTTTGCCGGTCACGATATGCTAACGTGACCGGCGAAATCCCCGAACAATTTGAATCCCGAAATCGCGTCGTTGGGCTCCCTGCGGACGCTCTTGGGCCCCTCTCGGGCCCTCCTGGAGCCCTCTAGGGCCCCCTCCAAGACGGCACTGGCGGAGCCTACCTCGCACCCCATTGAGGTAGGTTTCGTTGGGGCTCTCTTGGGCCACTCTTGGGGCTCTCTTGGAGCTCTGTCGGCCTGCAGAGGGCCCCGAGAAGGGCCCGAGTCCCTGTTGGAGCCCCCCTGGGGCTCGCATTTCTGCGTGGCCCCTTTCGGGAATTTTGCCGGTCACGATACGCTAACGTGACCGGCAAAACTCCCGAACCATTTTAACCCTGAGTGTCGCGTCTTTGGGCTCCCTGGGGACGTTCTTGGGCCCCTCTAGGGCCCTGTAGGGGCCCACAGGGCCCCAAGATGGCCCAAGAGGGCTCCAATGCCTTCTCCGCCGCCCGTGCCGCTCGCCCCACTCGCCCCACCTGCCTTGCTCCATCGTCAAGCGCCGGTTGAACAACAAGGGCAAGCGTTGTCTGAGGAGCAGTCCGGGGAGGCCGAGCGAGGAGAAACCCGCCATGAAGAAACCCGCTATGAAGAAAGCAGCTATGATGAAATAGATGTTATCATCCTGCTCCACCTCCGCATTTTTCCTCCTCCTCCCCCTTTCCCCATCTCGCCCTCCCGCCTCCACCCCGTCCTCTCCCTCCTGTCTATTCCTCCCTCTTCTCTCCGACCCCCCCGTCCCTCTTCCGTCGACGACGTCCCGGCGACGCGCCCCTGGTGATCCAAGACGGCCCAGGCGGCCCCCCAAGACGCCCCAAACCGCTCCCAAGACGGCCCAGGAGGGCCCCGCGACGCAGCATCGACCCCGGGTCACAGCCAGGGCCGCGCGCGGGGATTTTTCCTCTACTCCTATTAGTTTCCCCTCGAGGCAGCTAGGCCGCGCCTCGGAGAGGGTCGGCAAAAGGCCGCGGCCCACCGGCGGACGCTCGCTCAGTAAAGGGGGACGAGGCGAAAGTACGGGGAGAGAGTGAGGGAGGAGGGGAGGAAGGAGGAGGAGGTAGGAGGAGGAGGAGCAGGAGGTGGGAGGCGGAGGAGAAGGGGGAGGAGGCGGAGGAGCTGAAGGAGGCGGAGGAGGAGAGGAGGAGGAGGACTGAGGAGGAGGGAAGGAGGAGGTGGAGGAGAGGAGGAGGAGGGAGGAGGAGGAGGAGGAGGAGGAGGAGGTGGTAGGAGAAGGAGAAGGAGGGGAGGAGGAGGAGGGGACAAGGAGGACAAGAGAGAAGGAGGGAGGAGGAGGAGGATGGAGGAGGAGGGCGGAGGGGGAGGAGGTGGGAGGACTAGCGAGGAGGAGAAGGAGGAGGAGGAGGAGGAGGAGGAAAAGGAGTAGCGAGGTGGAGGAGGAGGAGCAGGTAGGAGGTGGAGGAGGATGGTGGAGAGAGGAGGAAGGGGAGGAGGTGGTGGACTTAGCGAGGAGGTGGAGGAGGGAGGAGGAGGAGGAGGAGCGTGGAGGAGGAGAGGAGGACCGGTGATAGCGTGGCTGAGGAGGAGGAGGAGGAAAAGGAGGAGGGGAAAAGGAGGAGGAAAAGGTGGACGGGGGACAGCCACGTGGAGGAGGAGTAGGAGAAGGAGGAGGAGGAGGAGGAGGTGGGGAGGGAGAAGTATAGCCGAGGAGGAGGGGAGGAGGAGGAGGAGGAGGAGGAGGAAGAGGAGGAGGAGGAGGAGGAGGAGGAAGAAGACGGCGAGAAAACGGAGGAAAGGGAAGAGCAGAAATGGGAGGAGCAGCACCCGGACGCCCGGACTCCCATGGGAGTCCGGACACCCGGACGCCTGGGTTCCTTCATTGGGCACCCGCGCACCCGAACACCCGGACGCCACGCCTGGACACACCGCGGACACCCGGACACCCAGACACCACCCGGACACCCGGCCACCAACTGGACACCCGGCCACCACCCGGACACCCGGACGCCCTGCCAGACGCCAGACACCACCCGGACACCCGGCCAGACACCCGGACACCCGGACACCCGGACGCCCAGACGCCCGGACACCCCCCGACATACCCCCGGACACCCGGACGCCCCGACACCCGGACATCCAGACATCCCGTCA